TGGTACCTGCCTTCCATCAGCTGAGTCCGTATCCTGGCACTGCTGGGTCCTGCTGTATTCCAGTCATTCCTACCACCTTCTTTGGTCCATGCCGACCCTGTAAGTAGATCCTTGGGCCCTCTCTGGCCCTGTGCTCCCACCGTGACCCCTTTCCAGGGTACCCACCAGGAGTACTCACTGGGACCGCTCAAGGGCTCTGGCCTGTTTGGACCAGTTGGGGACTCCACTTCTGGTCCCCCAGACTTCTCTTCTGCTGGGTCTTTTATCCCAGCTCTAGGTGTCTGGCCGGCCAATCGGCCCCGGCACACTCTTATAAAGTGTGCCCAGGTAGATGCAGGAGCCATTCCCAGCTCCTCCTGGCTCTGCCATTTTTTTCCTTTTGATCTTTTCACTTTTGCCAGGATGGGCTCCAGGCGTGGCATCCCACTACCTCCCTGTTTCTTCACGCTACACTAGCAAATTGCCTGTCAAGAATGATGGAGGAGGGGGTGGGGGGCCGGTGGGAATGGAGCCCTGTATCTAGCTCTGCTCCCCCCCCCCTGCAGCTCTAGGTCCAGCCCTGCTCCTCCCCCCCACTGTGGGTTTGGTCCCGCTCTCCCCCTCTCCTGCTCTGGCTCTGCTCTACCCCACCCACTGCTCTGGGTCCAGCCCTGCTCTAGCCCCCTCCCCCTATTCTGGGTCTGGCCCCACTCTACCCCCCCCCACCGCTCTGGATCCGGCCCCACTCTATTCCCTGCACCGTTCCACGTGTGGCCCTGCTTTACACCCCCTCCCTGCCACTCTGGGTGTGGCCCCACTCTATGCCCCCGCTGTTCCAGGTCTGGCCTCCGCTCCACACTCCTCCCTGCCACTCCAGGTCCAGCTCCACTCTACCCCCCTCACTGTGGGTCTGGCCCCGCTCTTCCCCTCCTGCCATTCTGGGTCTGGCCTCACACCCCCCCACTCTGGGTCCAGCCCTGCTCTAGCCCCCCAGCTCCCTGCTCTGGGTCCAGCCCTGCTCTACCCCCCACACCACTCTGGGTCCAGCCCTGCTGTATCCCCCCCTCCCTGCCACTCCAGGTCTGGCCCCACTCTACCCCCCTGCTGCTCCGGGTCCAGCCCTGCTCTACCCTTTCTCCATACCATTCCGGGTCCGGCCATGCTCTATGTCCCCTGCTGCTCTGGGTCTGGCCCCACTCTACTCCGACTCCCTGTCACTCCAGGTCCAGCCCCGCTCTACCCCCCCATTCCTAGCACTCCAGGTCCAGCCCCACTCTCCTCCCCTGCTGTTCGGGGTCCGGCCCCGCTCTACCTCCCCTCCCCGCCACTCCAGGTCCAGCTCTGCTCCACACCCCCCCATTGCTCCGGGTCTGGCCCTGCTCTACTCCTTCTCCCTGTCACTTTGGGTCTGGCCCTGCTCTGAACTTGCTGACCCGTGTCTGCCTCCCTCCTTCTCTGCCCACTGTCCTGGGGTTGGCACCGTCACCATGACACTCCCCTTCAGCCTTGGGCAGGGAGGCGTGGGGAAGCCCCGCTGCTCGGGCAGCTAGGGCACGTTCGCCAATTGCTGGCTGCCCAGAAACTTCCCCGGCAGTGGCTCAAACTTGGGCCTGCGCAGCCCAGGCCATGCAGCCAATTGCTGGCTGCCCTCTCGGTGGCGCATGCACATTTGGCCAAAAGTGTTACAGACAGACAGACACATTAGGCCTTTTATTATATTAGTATTCACTATCGTTATGGATATGGATATATTTTCCTACCACATAACAAATATAGGTACACCAACAGTTGTTGTGGAAGAAATAACAGAATTTGGCTGAGCTAAGAGTAAGACCAATTTAGATGTCAGGTATTTCCAAACCCATGTAATGCAACTCAGTCTGAATTCACTACACTGCAATGCATCTTTTTGAATTCACTATATTTCACTAAAGTTGGAACCATCTGAGTTGACAAAAGGTCAATGACATCTGGCACTGCTTCCTTTAGAGCAGGGGTGGGCAAAATGTGGACCATGGGCTGGATGCGGCCAGGCCATTCCATTTGGCCCGCAGGGCCCCTAAAAATTTAGAAAAATTAATATTTATCTGCCTCTGGCTGCCTGTTACGCGGCCCTCAATGGCTTGACAAAACTCAGTAAGTGGCCCTCCATCCAAAATAATTGCCCGCCCCTGCTTTAGAGGGACTGTGTGTATGACTAGTTTTGTACTACTAGGTCATATAAAAACAATTCCTGAAGACCTTATATTCATGCACATTGTGTACTTCTATACTGCCTAAATAATAAGCGTTAACTGACAAATTCATACTTGCTCTTTGTAAATCTTGGGGCCAACTGATGCAGTCCTAGTTTTGGCAAAATTCCCACTGACTTGAAAAGGAGTTTCTGCAAGTAAGGTGTTAGGAAGGAAGGAATGAAGTTTGAATCGTTGGGGGGGGGTTTGCT